TCATGAATCAGATACAATAATTTTGGAAACTTAAGGTTACATGGACTGAGAATTACTCTGAATAAGTTAACTATTTATTCAACTTGACAACCACCCAACCTTCAACCTGCCACCTTAACAAATATTGTTACAAGTAAAAGGTATCCAAGAATAATGGTTATCTCATTTAACTTGAAAATATTCAATCTAATGAGATGATTTGTAATCAAATGAACATGAGCAATCATTCAATTCAGTTGAAAGAAACTGCATGATACCCTTTCATGCAACGAGATTACTGAACACAATTCATTAACTAATCCAATAGTGTTTCCAAGACACAGAAAAGTTATCGAGAAAAAAGTTCATGAGTATTAATGAAAACATTGTATTCAATTGTTATGACAATGAATCAAGTATTTTCCTTATCAAAAAGATATAAAAACGATCGGATTCAATCATTATTTTTTCAATACAATCAAATTGATGAAACTAATTATCAAAGAAAATGTCAATAAAGGTAAATAAATTAAAGTAATTTGAATTAATTGAATCAATTTATCATTTGAACAGCAAACACTTTGATTCCAACTCTTATATACTATTCCATTAACTTTTATCATGATTATCATTTCATTTGATAAGTTAACTGAATCATATTATCTTGATTCAATTATATCGTTAATCTTAACACTGCAGTTACTAGGAAAATCTGTTGAAAATGTTATCATGAAATTATATTTGATAAATCACTTTATTCATTTACAGAAATGAGTCTTGAATTATAAATTTGAGTTAATCATTAACATGATAATGATTGAATTACAATTAGCAAAATAAAAGGCAAAAAGTTCATTCAGGTTACAGATATGAAAAGTTGAGAAACGATTGCTGATATTGAATTTACTTTTGACAATCAAATGAAAGTAATCAAAGTTTATCATGAAGGTAACATGAAATTAAGTGATCAAAGATCAAGAGTAATGAAATTTTCAATCTATGATATTGCCCTGAAGTTAGAAAATAACATAATTATATTTGATTAACAGAGACTAATATTACTTAATTATGATGGTGACACTAATGGTGCCTAGAATTCAGTAAAATAATTGAATACAATGCTGTACATGAGATATTGAAACAATAGATGAAAATATTCCATTGAATTTCGTAGGTTATCAATTCATTTGATTGAATAACAAGTCAAAAGTATTTTTAGCTATTGAATCTACTGGATAATATTAATATTCCCATGACTATGAGATTAGTTAAAACTGAGTTTCATAACTTTTATCATTTTCTAGTTACTATTAGTATTGTGATAATGTAACTTAATCTTACATCATTATTTTCATTTTTCTGCAAAAAATTCCCATGTGTTGAATTATTGGTCACCACTTTGTGTTAATTTGTTCTTTGTCTACTCTTGTCCATCAATTGATGAAAGAAAAGTAACATTGAAAAGAGGAAGAATTAGCAGAGAAAAAAATAAAAAGCTGGATTGACTAAAATCCCAAGATTAACCTAATACCATGAGAGAGTGTAAACAACGTAAGAGCAGCATTTACAGTGTTTATTTGTGATTTTTTTTTTGCAGCAAGAAAAAAGGTTCACTTCAATGGTGAAAATGAAATAATATATAACAGGTAGAAACATTTTATTTCCAAAGATGATGGAAGGATAATCTCTACTCTTTTATTTCTCCTCTTACTGAGTGTATTCACAGTCCCACTTTAACTCTTCACGTAAGAGGATAAAGTTTTTTAGCTATTCGAAGTCAGGAAATTTATATCAGTTGGTATTTAGAAAATAAAAGTTATCCCTCTAGATGGACTAGATGAATGGTGGTCAATGTAAACACAGAAAAAGTGGTTTACTCTCATGTTAAGATGAAGATAATGAGACTCAGCTGATTTCTTGTATTCCAAAGCTGGATAACTTTTTTCATCTTTTCTTCCTGTTTTCACTCCCTGTAGTTCTCAGTAAACTTTGTATTCCAAAGGATTTTTAGTTTCTTTTTATCTTCCATTCAATATCTATCGATATATTTATATCTTTGACTTTTAATTTTGTTTATTTTCTATTTTCAGCATGATTCTATTCTTAATCTTTATTTTTTCCACTTCCTCTTGTTCATATCTATTCTCATCTTCTCACCTTATCCTCTGTAGATTAACCTTAGATCTCAGTTTGTCAATCGATTTTCAGATTGTTTCCTTTTATCCGAATAAAAGATAAAGAAATCAAAATGTTATCTACAATAGAAAAACTTTATAATCTGAGATTCACCTCAAGCTCACAAGTTCATCTCATGAATAAGCTGATTGATTTCATTGATTTCAAGTATTAATAAAATTGAATTCTATCTTCATGTTCTCATGAGCTTTCTTAACATGGAAACTTTGACCCCAAAGTTTTTTTCTAAATTGTTCATGACAAAGAAAAACTGAATCAAAGTTATCATCATGGAGTTAAAAATCATTCATATTACATTGATATCGATCATGTGATTATTTACATACAACATTTAATGGTTAAAGAAAAATCCTAAGCTCAGAACTTTTCTTTTCCTTTTCATTCAACATAATCAATCATGTACCCAAAACGATTTCGATACAGATCAAAGTCAGAAAATGTTGTTACTACAATTCAACCAGATCAAAATCGAACTTGTTTCCTTTTCTTAGCATATGGAATTTCGATACAATATTAACTCGATTTCCCTAATCATCAACTTGAATTCCGGAGGCAACAGAAGAACAACTCGATATAATCTCCCAAATGCAACAGTATGAAAATAGACGAACAAAAAAACTTCAATCGAACAGAAAGAAACAAACTTTTTTTCCATTTTTTCCAAGGTTCATCATCGATACTCATAAATACATAAATTATATCGATTTTATCATTTCAAGCTGAATGAGAGCAAAATATCGTTGGCTCACTACAAATCTTTCATTTACTGGTAACTTTTTCATTCCATGATAATATCATAAAATGATCAAAAAGACACAATATTATCACCATAATAATCATTTAATAGAACCTAATATTAGCTATTTGAATGAAAGAGAAAGAATAAGAGAGAAAGAGAGAGTTATCTTAATATTTTTATTTTCAATTTTCTCACGTAATGGAAATTGAATAGTTTATTTTGTATCATTTCACTAATTCATGTGAGTCATGAAAGTTTCAATCTTAGTTCTAAATTGGTATCATTATCGTTTTCTGAGAGTTCTGCTATTTTCTTTCTCTTTCCATTTATCCTTTCGTCTTATTTCAGGAATTGTTTGATAATCAAACCTCATGGTAAATAGTTGAAGCTTTTAAATAGATTTAGAAATGTGAAATTTCATTGATATTTCAATTGTGATCAGCAAATGTTAGATTAATATTATGAGAAACTACTTTAGTTTCATAAAAACTGATGTTCATAATCATGTAAATTAGGCAGAGGTGAAGTGTTGATTACTAGGTGATCAACGAGTACTCATGAATATTGATCAGATAGATAATCCGGTAGAAATGGAGATTAGTTTATTTCTCTCAATCTATTTCTAATTGATTCTCATTCTGCAAGTCATTTCATGTACTCCTTTTTATAATAGTGTCTCATTAGCATGTCTTTTATTACAGTTATGGTTATTTCTTTGAGAACATTATTTTTATCCTTAATCACTTAATCTCCTTAATACCTTGAATCTCTACCAAATATATATATTTACACATCTCTACATATGATAATCTATCAATACATGATTCTTACATTTAGATTTCCATGAGGAAACGAAGTATTTAAATGAACAATACTTTTTTAACCAAATCCAACCCAAAAAAATACTTTGATTAAGTTAATTATTAATACTAGGGTATTCAAAGACTTTGATACCTAATTGATAAAATGGTTATAATTCAATTGTATTCGTTGTAATTATTAATATAATTAACTCTTTGATTAACCTCATCCAATCTGTACTCTAATTAGTAGTTGTCAGCTTTGATGTCGACTGAAGATTCAATTAGTTTAATGAAAGTTGATCATAAGAAAATTTAATCAAATCAATTTTTAGAACTTTTTCTCATTGAAATTAACTCGAACTCGTAAATATTATATTAAATTTTGTGAGAATTTTGTTCACACTTTCGATGATGAAATATTTCTTATCCCTTCAAGTTGTGATTCGAAATTCGAAAGTGACAGATTTTTTATTGAAACTTTCGAAATAAGAAAAAGTTTAATGAATCGAAAATGAACTTTTCGAACTGATTCAATCTTATGAATTTTCTTTTCATTCTTGTTTCCATCATCCTCACTGAGAAATTTATTATCATGTCTGTTTTCAATTTGATAGTATAAGGAGCAGAAATCGAACTCAAAATTGATTCGATTTAAATATATCCATTCTCAGCTCTCATATTGGAAACTTTTCTTATTCTTTTCTATTCAATTCGACCCAAAAAGTTTCAAGTGAATATTTCTACCTGATTTTAGTTTCAAATTATCATATGTTAATACAGTGAAAGAACGATGAAGATAAAAAGGACCAAAAGATGATAAATATGTTGAAATAAGAAGAGAAAAAAGGTATCAGAGAATAAAAAACATTCGAATGTTATTTTTTTCTCGTTTTTTTCAATGCATTTCAAACAAGTTTCATGATAAAAATTCAATTCACCTTCTAAGTTCATTCATTGAATTGGACAAATATAAAGTGGTTACATTGGTTTTCTTTTTGTATTCTACTTGACCAAATATAAAAGTATTAAATTGTATATTCACCCCATTTGTACCTGGTCAGTAGTCAGCTCAAACTCTAAGGAGGATGAATTTTAACCATGAAAATGAAGTAAAGTAAAAACTGATTAAAAATTCAATCGATCATTAGAATAACTGGATTAAGATTAGACAGTTTACTGAATGAGTCCAAGATTAACTTGGTTTATTTTGATAGTGTTAAGATGATGTTCAATGACTCAATTATCCTCATAATTTATAATTTAAAAATCAAGTTTGTACCAACCTCCATAAACCTCACAGCTTAAAGATAAATCTGAGGTTTCATTGAAAGGTCCAACTAGACCTTCAAGTTTTTCCATTGTTTCGGTATTAACGATGAAAATTGATTCGGGTGGCACTTTTAATCCAGTTATAAAGTTGATGGTTAGTTTTGATTACTAATATTTATTGGAGTAAATTAATTGAACTTACCGATAACTGTTAGGTTGATGTGAAAGTTTTGTGTTGGATATTTTTCATAATCGACTCTACATCGATATTCACCCGAGTCTTTTTCACTAACTTTATCTAATCGTAGAGTCGGTGGACTTTTGGACATTTCAAAATAAGATCGACTCTTATAAGAACTAGATGGAATATGAATTGAACCACTTAATGAACTTTTATTCCGAGTGTCAACTGTATAAACAGGAATTCCAGTCTCTCCTTTGTACCATAAAATAATGGCCACTTCTTTAATATTCCCGTTGGTTATCGTTATGTTACATGGTAAAGAGACTGATCGACCAGCGATACCTTCGACTTCTGTGTGACCTAAACATTGAGAAAGAGAGAAAGTGAATTTTAATAGATTGGATCATCAATGGTGATAATTAACAAAATTGTAAATACCTGAATAATCAATTTCTAAGCTTTGTGAATTTACAACCAAATTGTTACTACAATTAAGTGTCAGTACAAATAACATTAATTGTAGACATGTCACCGATGATGATGATTTAAATATCCAAGTTGTTTGAATAGCAACTGAATCACAATTAAGAAACATTAATTTCCTTCTCATTTTTGTTTAAACAATTAAATTAAACTCAATTATTTTGATAGAGACTAAGATGATGATATCTTGATAAAAACACAAACAATTAATAATCAAATGAATATGTGATGATGATGATTATATTTCACTCAATTTGAATTAATCAACAGTTTTGATGAATAAAATTAACCGGCAATAATAATAATTATCGCTACATAAAGTGTTCAATCAAACACAATCAATATAAAAAGAAGAGATTGAGTTAAGGTTCGATTGGCAGAATTTTGATTATGTTTATTAACAGTGTTTAAAATGAGAATCTATCAACTGTTGATTTTGTCTAATTGTGTCACCTAATTACTTGTTTTTAATTCATTTCAATAAACACTGAAAGTTTCACATTTTCTTCAATTTAAATTAACTCAATTTGTTGATAGAACTATAAACTTATTTGGTTTGATCATTTACTGGGAATGAGTAAAATAACTTTTATCATAAAAACTAAACTATCACAATCATTGAGTCAACTCATTTTTACTTTTTGTTTGATAGTCAAATTTTCTGTGCACTGCTGACCTCTCTTGGTACAGAACTCAACTAAAATTCTAACCTTCTTGAAGGGTAGAGGCTTAACCTCCCAAACAATTACTGAGCAATCGACTCAGATTATTATGAAATTTCAATTTCTTTTATTTTTATTCATTAACCCGTTTCAGTTTTAAAACTTAATTTCATTTAGACCCGACTTCAAACCCGATTTTCTTAAATTTTAATTTTCTTAAATTGTAACCAAAAGAAAGATACAAATTTCCTTTCTTTCCATTGTGCTTTTTTAATCTAATCTAAACTGATTAGTAACATTAATTTGATAAGTCACAGCTCAAGCTAGAAAAAGCCAAAAGATTTGATTAACCTTAATTTAATCATTTTGATAACAGTCGAGTCTGAAAGACTACATTAATTCCAGCACAAATTTCTTTTGTTAATTTCAAGTATAAATGTAACTATCAAAAGATAGAACAATTTAGATTTAATTTGGTCTCATAGAGTCAACTTAAGTTTCATTAAAAATTTCAATAAAGTTAATTTTCAGTTATAATTCAGTCCGGAAAAGTCTTAAACTTGAGTTTAGTGATTGTTGGAATCCTGAAAAGAAGTGTGTGCAAATCGAATCTACTGATTCAAAATCAACAAATTGATTAAAGGTAATAGCCAAAGTGATCATAATAGAGCTCTAGATCCCGAGGACTATCTCTGACACTCCGTTATTCACCTCAAAATACCCGATAAAAACCTCACATTCTGGACCAATATTAACTATGTTATTAGAAGAGACAATTCATAGGAAAATGAGCGAATGGCCAATCAACGAATATCCAAAGCATACGAAATCTTTTGACCATAACATGTTCCACGAGTTGGCAATATATGTATATTTAATTCCAAGAGAGAGGTCGGCTCAGGTTTAGAAGAAGCTGAAACAGGTTACGGCGGTAAAGGAGCCGCTGCCGCAGGTTTCAAAGCTGGAAAAGCTGGTAAGTAACACTCATAAGAATCTCATCTCATGAATTTAATTTTGATTCTATTTAATCTCTGGGTGATACCTGGTTACCTGTTACCATGGTTGAATTAATATCTTCAAGTGTTTAATATCTATGGGAAGGTGAAGATTCTCAACTGTGTCCATTGTCAAAAGATCAAATTTCCATTCTAATTAAATTGGAAAAATTGACAGCAAATCAATTAGACAATGGAAATGATGGTGATGATGATGATTCAAATTGTAATGGTGTTAAAAAAGAATCAGCTGTTGGTGGATCTTTAAAGGATAGAAAAGGTTCACCAGATACTAATGGTAAAGATTTGGAATCTGAAGGCACCGGTCATTTGAATGTTCTTACTGATGCTCTTGGACATTTTAATAGCTTAAGGGATATTGAGAGATGGTTTGATTCAGTTGAGAGTCAATTGGAAAATAAAAACTAAACTATCACAATCATTGAGTCAACTCATTTTTACTTTTTGTTTGATAGTCAAATTTTCTGTGCACTGCTGACCTCTCTTGGTACAGAACTCAACTAAAATTCTAACCTTCTTGAAGGGTAGAGGCTTAACCTCCCAAACAATTACTGAGCAATCGACTCAGATTATTATGAAATTTCAATTTCTTTTATTTTTATTCATTAACCCGTTTCAGTTTTAAAACTTAATTTCATTTAGACCCGACTTCAAACCCGATTTTCTTAAATTTTAATTTTCTTAAATTGTAACCAAAAAGAAAGAGATACAAATTTCCCTTTCTTTCCATTGTGCTTTTTTAATCTAATCTAAACTGATTAGTAACATTAATTTGATAAGTCACAGCTCAAGCTAGAAAAAGCCAAAAGATTTGATTAACCTTAATTTAATCATTTTGATAACAGTCGAGTCTGAAAGACTACATTAATTCCAGCACAAATTTCTTTTGTTAATTTCAAGTATAAATGTAACTATCAAAAGATAGAACAATTTAGATTTAATTTGGTCTCATAGAGTCAACTTAAGTTTCATTAAAAATTTCAATAAAGTTAATTTTCAGTTATAATTCAGTCCGGAAAAGTCTTAAACTTGAGTTTAGTGATTGTTGGAATCCTGAAAAGAATCTGAAAGATTTGTTAGTGTGTGCAAATCGAATCTACTGATTCAAAATCAACAAATTGATTAAAGGTAATAGCCAAAGTGATCATAATAGAGCTCTAGATCCCGAGGACTATCTCTGACACTCCGTTATTCACCTCAAAATACCCGATAAAAACCTCACACTTGGCGACCCAGGCAGGATTCCAGCAGTTCTTCAACACAAAAGTGCTTATGCCAACTACAAGACAAGCTTCACGTCTTCAACAACAAGTCTTAAGACTCGAGATGGCTGAACATCAAATTAGTGAATTAACCGAAACTCAAATTAAAAATACTCTCGAATTTTGGTCGGTACAAATCCCGTCAATTCGATCATTACAAAAGAAAAGGCTTCAAGAAGTCATAAAAACTAACTTAATGTTAGAAGGTGATATATTAACCACCAATGAAATTCAAGTTCTAATACTTGAAGAGTTACAAGAACAAATAATCCCCGAGTGGATTACCGAATTCCGGAAGTCTAATCTCAGTGAAGATGAGATTAGGACCATCATCAACAAGATTGGTCGTGAAAGTAATTCAATAATCAACTTAACTCACTGCGAGTTAAACAGTCTACCGTTACCTTTAGGTAGTTTAAGAAAAATTAAAAATGTGCTCAACGAATTAGGCATCGACATTGCCCCACCAGTTCCAGCCCGATTTGATTCAGTTCCATCTGAAACTGTTCCTCATGATTCAACTTTAGTTGAAAGTCTTGCCCAATTCGCAAATGCATTGAAACGAGATCCCGAGGTTCCCGAATTCAAGAAAGGAGAAGACATGTTGTCATGGGTCAACAAAACTAAAGCCCGTCTCAACCATGAAAATGTCGATGATGCTACAAAACTCCGATGCTTTAAAAAAGCTCTTTCCAATGAGTTGCTTCATATATCTAATCAAATTCCCGTGCAGGTAAATGATTATCATTTGTATCTCGACGCTCTCTATGAGAAATTGAACAGCCCATCGATGAAATATACTGCCGATTACGAGCTGATGAATTATCGATATAAGTTAGAAGACCATCCTTCGACCTTTATTGATCATCTTTCAACCCTGGTTACCAAATCTCTTGGTAAAGTTGACACATCCGTTTTCTTAATGATGATCTTGAGTCATATCCCAAGAAACATCCGCGATGAGATTTACACTCTCGGCGCAAATTTAAGCCAAGATGCTATTTTTAACGTACTCGTACGAAAACATCATGAATTCCTCGAACAAGCGAGAAGAAACAAACAAAGTGGAAGAAACCCACGAGTGGATAAAAACGATAAATCCAATGATGCTAAAGCATCGACCCTTAACAAAATTCTATCTAATGATAACAATTATCAACAAAGACCCAGATACCGAGGTCAATGTGGTGAATGTAAATTGTGGAATAGTCACCCGACTAATGAGTGTCGACGAAAGAAAAACTCAAGTGAGGCTAAGAAGCCAACACCTCCAGCTACAGCAGCTACTACTACCGCCACAACCCAATCATCATCATCAATGGTCATAGACCCAAAAATCGAACGTTCTCAAGAACCAATTACTTCTGGTTTCCGTCAAAACGACATAAACTTTGCAGTTTCCGAAGAATGTATAACAACACTTGGACCTTTACATCTTGTTCATATGCCAGTTGCTCAATTCAAACTTTGTCGCACAGACCGACAATTTGTTCGAGAAGGTGCCGTTCTTCTCGATACAGGCTCAACAATGTCAGCCTTAGACGAACACGTCGCAAGAGAGCTTGGAGCTCATATCTCTTATTTTCATCGTTCCCTTCAAGGAATCTCATCATCACCCGTAACTTCACTCGGTTTTGCCTACGCAATAGTGAAACACCCCGAGATGGAAGAATCGAGAATCTTCAAAATTCAAATCTGTAAAGATTTTCGTCCAATATGTTTAATTGGAAATTCATTCATGCACTTATACTATGCATCGATTGAAAGTGATGGCGATAATTACCAAGTAAAGGTAAAAGAGACATCCGAAAGTGAGTCAAAAAAGCCCGAATTTTTATTCAGATTTTGCACTGAAGATGGAACAAATCATCTTTTTGAATTAATCAAAAACCTTGAAACTCAGTCGTATGTTCTCGATACAATAAATCGAAAACAATTGGATAACCCATTAGCTGCAATCGCTATTGAGGAAAACCCGAAAACGGAACAGTTCCCGTATAAGTTGCGACTTGGTAATCAAAATTACGTGAATTATTAAGTGAAGATCGAAAAGCATTGGATAAGCTTAAAGAAGCTTTGATAACGACGGCTATGCTGGTTCACTATAACCCGATATTGAGAAGAAAAATTAGTGCTGACGCATCTGATGCTGCAGTAGGAGGAATACTCCTACAAGAGGATGAAAACTCTGAAAGTTATGATCCTAATTGTCCAATCGACGAAATAAAAAATTGGCTCCCGATGTATTTTATTCACAAAAATTGGCTAAACATCAACGAAATTATACCGTTTCGAGAAAGAATGTCTCGCGATTTTCATTGGCATTACTAAATATCGACATTATTTAGAAGGTCAACAATTCTTGGTGGAGACCGACCACCATGCTCTTTGCCAATTGCCCCGAATAAACTTCAAAAATTCCCGGTTACACCGATGGTCTGCAATGTTGTCATCATTTGACTTTAAAGTCATTTATCAAAAAGGAAAACAACATCCACCTGATTGTTTTTCACGGTATCAAAGTGAATGGAATCACCGTAACTCTATCGACCCTGAAGAAGAGTATTTAGATAAAATTTATCTAATTGACTATGTCATTGACTTCGAAGATGATATTTATTTCGATATTGGCTTAAACCTGATTAACAGTGAACTCAACAACATTTGCTACGATCTAAAAGATCCTCAATTGATCGCTTACACTCTTCAAAGTGAATCAACATTAATTCAACCAAACATTGTCAACGACGACAACCTTAAAACTCCAACATCTATTTGGAAAGAAAAAATAAAAATTCATCAACAAAATGATCCCGAAATCATAAAAATTAAAAACCAATTGATCGAAAAAGATCCTGAAACTTGCAAAAAATTTGCCCTTCAAGATGAACTACTTCATCGAAAAAATGATAAACCCCCGTACAATTTAAAATTGGTAATTGATCCAATAATTTTAAGTGAAATCTTCAAACATGACCATGATTCACCAATAGGAGGTCACTTTGGACCCGAAAAGACTGCATGTCAAATATCCCGACGTTTCTGGTGCAAAAATTTACTTCAAGAAGTAACAAGACTTTGCAACAATTGCAAATCGCAAAACCAACCAACATAATTTATGTTGATCCAGCTGAAAAGCCAATTGCCGACGACATTTTTGATCGATTTGAACTCGACGTCCAAGGACCAATAACGGTAAAACATTCGAAAAAGTATATTCTTGTGTTAGTAGATGTTCTGTCCAGATTTGTCTATGCGAAACTAACCCTTAATCAAACAGCTTCAACTGTAATTGATTTCCTTCGCCCGATTTTTAACACAGTTTCATACCCAAAAATCCTACAAACCGATAACGGAACGAATTTTACCTCAGAACAGTTCAGATCATTCTGTCAAAACAATGGTATTAAACATGTTACCTCAAACCCGTACCATCCACAATCACAGGGAATAGTCGAAAGACACAACAAAACAATCTCAGAGAGATTAAGAATTTATTGTTTAGCGAACGATAATAAACATTTAGCTTATGGCTTAGAAGCCTCTGTTTTCGCAATTAATACTTCGATACACAAAATAACCCGATTTTCTCCATATTTTCTCGTTTATGGTAGACAACCCCAGAAACCGATCGATAATCATATCGAAACAAATAACAATTTTCTAAATACAATGTTGTAGAAGCTAGAAAGTTAGCCCGAGCAAGACTCAAGTCTCAACAACAGTATCAAATCAATCGATCAAAACAGTTACATCCAACTTCCCCTTACAAAGAAGGTGATTACGTTTATGTTAAAAATGAATCTGTCAGTTCAGAAATTTCAAAGAAATTGATAGAAAAATATCATGGACCTTATTTAGTCTGCGGTATTCAGAAAGGAAGTTTAATGCTTCTCGACATAGACGAGTTAGAAATATTCACAGCGAATGTCAGTAATACGAAATTACACAAATCAGAATTAACTGAGAAACAGAAAGAAATTAGAGATAATTTTTTCAATTCAGATCAATATCTTCAGATAGAAAGTTTTAAGCTCCCAAACACTAACGAGATTGATCCAACTAATGTTGATCAAACAGATTCATCAATAACAAAAACGAATTCAAATTCAAATTTAAATGATGAAATTAATCCACTTACCGAAAATCCCGAGCTTGACAATCTTGATCCAGAATTAATCTCTAACCATGAAACAACTTCAGTTGACAATCAAGAACATAATCCAATGGATAAACAAGTCAACAAACCAAAGAAAAATCGCTTAAGCGCTGATAAGATGATAATTCAACAATCAACAATTGATCCAATTAATGATGATAATCAAAGATTAACAAGACAAAGAAGACAACAATTAAAACAATTCGATGAGAACAATTATATTCTATTCTACTGTGTAACCATTGGCAACAGTGAAAACGAATTTAAAAATATTCGAAAATCGAAAATCGATTTTTTCCCGATTTTCTCCAAGGAAACGATTATTCGAAATTCTTTTCCCACCAATTGTCCGTTAATTAACCCGATTAACCAGATAAGACACCATTTTGTCTCTAATCAAAATCTTCTTTTCTTTATCGAAATCAAAGTTTCTTTTAAACAAACAACCGAATCAACTCTAGTTAAAGCTTCATTAATCATCTTAATCATCAGCAACTTTACGCTAATTGTGCTTAAAAAAGCGAATCAACTAATTCAATTAGTCATCATCAAACTTAAGTTTTTGGTCATCTTAATTGATATAAAAGTGATGGATCCAAATCATCGAGCCACAGTTACAACAAACTCTAATTTTGTTTCGTGTGAATTAAGTGATGGTCGAAATGTTATCTACGACATAACCCAACCTTCAACTTCCAATTTTTAAGTTGTTCAAAAAACTCAAGTTTCACCATCATCACCAACAGGCTCATCAACATCCACTGACTCAATTATATTCTTAATTTAATTCACTTGGAATTAATAGTTGACTGAATAGACGGAGAAAAGACATTAATCTTGATCCTGGTTCAATGGTAAATTGTGATTCCTCTAAATCGTACGGAAGATTTGAAGGGGTCAATGTTAATTTCTAGAGGTGAACAATCATCAAATTGTTTAATCAATTCACCAGCAAAAGGTAAATCAAGAATTGACTTTGAGACTAACCATAGATTAGAAACAAGATTATCTTTCAACCGATTAATAAACATCTCAGGCCTTTGGAATTAATCAAAAATCTAGACAATTGATTTTGCAATTTTAATCAAACAAAACATTCAAAACAATAAGACAAAAACATATCCAAACATATGATTAACTTTTGTTTGGGTGAATCCATGGTAACCAAACTTGATTACATTCAATTTAAATTGACATTAATTAGAATTAAAAATCGAGTCTGAAACTAATTAAGTGTCAACCTTAAAGTTAATCAGTATCTATTGTCAATCATTCATCGAAAAATTTAGCAAAAGTCCACGCACTAGCTCAATTAGTAACGGGTAAGATATTTGATCGGTATCACCGTTCAGACGGGAACCAATCGACGACGAAGACGAAGATGAAGATGAAGATGAAGATGAAGATTAAACGGGAACGAGATTTGAACCGGTGGCCAACCTTACAAATATCGTACACGTTACTAACGAGCTAGCTTGTGGACTTCAATAAATCGAGCGATTAACAGCCTTATAACCTTAATTACAGGAAATGAGAGGCCCGCTCGAAAAAGCGGTTTAGATTGTTGCCAAAAAGAAAGAGAAAAAGAAAGGTAAAAAAAGAAAGAGAAAAAGAAAGAAAAGTGGTCTAGATTGTTGCTTTTACTACTACTAATTGTTTTACCAATTTTTACTTCACCTTCACAATTTTAATCGATTTTCTTGAAAGTTTATGTCACCATGTTTACGATGTTCTTAGACCCATAGTGATCCATATAAATCATTTGAAACACTTTCGGAACTTTGTTGTATCCTGAGAAGCGAAGGAAGCGAAGAGTTTACATCAATTCTCGGAAATGAAACTCTCTCATTTGGCCGAGCTCTTAATTCACTTTTACAAGATGTCCAAGAACGTTTAGTCTATCGAACTGCTATTTATATACAAACGAATCTTGTCGAATATGTTCCAGCTCCTGGTGACCTTGCCTATCCAGAGAAATTGGAAATGATGGAAAGTATCGCCGAGTGTTTATCAACCAATCCTCCTGGAACTTTGGTTAGAAGTGATTCTTTATCATCAATAACATCAACCACTCTTTCGGACATTTCACTGGCCACTTATAATGATTCATCTTTCGGTAGATACGCTTCAAGATCACCAGCCGATATTCATGGGATGTGGTATCCAACCGTTAGACGGACAATAATGTGCCTTGCAAAATTGTACCGATCGTTGGACAAATCGGCTTTCCAACGATTAGCTCAAGAGGTTGTAGCCGGTTGTTTGGAATCATTAAAACGAGCCGGTTCAGAGATTAGTAAAAACAAGAGTCTCTCCGATGGATGTTTATTTCTAATCAAACATTTACTAATTGTTCGAGAACAGATAACACCATTTAGGATTGAATGTATAGTTCGAGAAGTGGAAATTGATTTTAGTCGAGTTAAAACAGCGGCACTTAATTTATTCAATAATGGGAGAAATATTTTCAGCCTTAAAAGTAATAACGGCTTGTTAAAATTTCTATTTGAAGTTCCTGGTGCACCTCAAGTTGTCGACCACATTCTGGACCCTCAAAGGATAGTGGACACTGAGATCAAAAGTACTTGTGATACCAAATCGGTTATGCCAGAATCGGGTCAATCCTAATTGATCCTAATAAGCAGTAAGATTAGGAAGGCGACCAGTTTGAAAAGTAGAACCACCATTTCGTTTAATATATCGGTAAGATCTTAGTTATGATCGCACTAGTGTGGCTTAAGTTAGCGGCAAAGTTGAAATCTAAATTACTGAGCTAATTAACGTAACTAATTAACTAATTTTTTGGCTTGTTTTGTTTTGTTAGATTAGGTTAGGTTAGGTGTCACTCGTAAACGGGTTAATTAATGAAGATCATAACTAAGATCTTACCGATTATTTTAATAACAAGCGAAAACAAACTTTCTTTCGATAGTTTGAGAGACCCATGGATTTAGGATACTGAAATGAGAATCATTCTTTTAAATCAAATCATTTCGATATACTAGAGATGACAGTGAGTTGAAAAAGTCTTAAAGCGTGTCAAAAACGCTCAAAAAGTTGTCCAAAATCTGAAAAATTATCCATCACATTAGCAAAACCATAACTATCACCGCCTGAGCCTCTTGCTTCTTTGTCTGTACCACCGCCTTTAACATCTCCTGCATTATTTCCGAAACCACCGCCACCACTTTTATCTTTGTCCTTACCACCACCATAAACAAAGCCAGAACCAAAACCACCATCAGTAAAACCACCAGAACCACCACTACCACTACCACTACCACGACCCCCATCTTTGCCCTTTCCATAACCACCACCATAACCACCACCTTGACCACCGCCATAACCATAGCCACTATTATCACCATAATCTTCTCCATCCATTTTTCTATCATAACCAAAAGTTTGGCTTGACAAAGAGGAGATAAGGACCATGATGAACAAGAAGCAATCGTAAGCCACAAAGGAGTAAGAACTCATTGTTTTTTGTATTCAAGCTTTTAAATTTTAGGTGTTGAAATCGGCACTTATT